GTAGTCGTAGTGTGTGTGTGTGTGTGTGTGTGTGTGTGTGTGTGTGTGTGTGTGTGTGTATGTATGTGTATGTGTGCATGTAAGGTCTTTTATAATGGTTTTTATTAAATAAAATTAATCTTTATTTATATATAAAAGTTTATACTTTATTTATATTTTAATAAAATATGTTAATTATTTTTAAATAAGGTTTTTGAAATTTCGACATTAATCGACATTATATCAATAGTTATATAAAGAATTATGTAAAGTTATATTACACTTTATAAAATTACAAAGTCAAAAAATTAAAGTTATTTTCGAATGATGTCAGCTTTCAGTTAAGCTAAGTTAGTGTAGTCTTTTACCTGTACGAGCGGTCCGTATTATAGTCCAGTAAAAGATATTCTAACAGAGTCCAAAAAGTGGCATGAAAAAGCGAATTATACCATCAAAAGGTTTTGTTTTCTGGCAACAAAAAGATTCACATCACTGACATAAATTTTCTTAAATTTATTGTGTTTCTTAAATTTTATAGGTATTTAAAATACAGGTATTCGGAAGTAATAAATCCTGAACGTAAAGCTTATTTATTTCAATTGTCGTGAATCGTCTACTTGAACTAAAATATCTCTTGAGAAAAAAAAACAAGAACATAAAATATTTTGTGGAAAAATATTTTAGGACATATTTGTCTTGAAAACAATTAGATAATATATTTTTCTAGAAAATTAAGAGTTGTTTGAGAGATCTTATCTTTATATTTTCTTTTAATACAGACACACACGCAAATATTTCTTATAACTTATTTTGTATAAAGTTTTCACGCTAATCTTATTCGAAAGCACTTTCAATCAAGACTAAGAAATTAATTTTTTCATAAATTCTACAATATACTTCAATGAATTCTGAGATTTATATATCGCTGTAACACAGTCTTATAATTTTATAAAGCATTGCTGCTCTCTTTTTTCATCCTCACCTCCTCCCCCCCTCACTCAAATTTGCATATTATATATTTGCATATTATATATAATTTTATAAATTATATAAAATATAATTATAAATATATCATAAATATATTATATATTAATACATTTATAATATATTAATTTTATTATAATAATTTGTGAGGGATATATATTTATTTTATAAATATATATTTTAAAAATTAATATAAAAAAATTTCATGAGACAAAGTCATCAACAAAGAGCATTCGAGAATTATCTAAATTATCAAACGGAAGTTCACTGTACGACTCGATTCGTCTCCGTAGTGTATTCGCAGTGTTTCCCGATTCTCAATGCGAGAGCCAATTGGTTATTATCAACAATGATATTTGGGCATCGACAGCGACGATGTGTAAAATATGTACATTACGAAGACGGAGGCTGTTAAGTTTGCGGTGAAATTTCTCTGGAACGACTTCCTCGCCCGTTCGCTAGTGGGGCTCTGACTTGTTGCTCGAGGAGTTGTAGACATCTTGCAATGCGGTTCGTTGCTCCTCGATGCCAACCCGCGATTGGCTCGCGACAGTCTCAGTGTCAAGTCGTCGATTTCTAGTGGCGTGTGCTTTTTATGCAACGACTCCTTCTCTTCTTCAGCGGCTCGATTTCGATGGGGGACGTTACCTCTCCGCTCGATTAATTGTAAGAAATTGATGGTGTTCACCACGTAGATCTCGAGATTGTATCCTCGTATAAAATATTGATGGCTGGTCATACAGTTCTTGTACTTGACAATATTGGAATTGTGTTAAAAAATTTCTCAAACTAACAAGTTCATTTCTAGATTATTAATTGACAACAATGATAAGGATTTTATCCAGTTTCCATAACAGATAAAAATCTTTACAAAGTTTTTGAACATTTTTACGTTAATTTTGTTTCTTTAATATATCGATAACCCCTATAAATCAATGATTGCAGCATCCTCAAGTTAGTTTATTACTATAGAAATTCGGGATGATTGAAAATTATGTCAAATAAATAAGAAGGGAAACATTTGTCGAAAGAATGTCGAATGTATTACATTTTCCTGCAAGGTTTCCAAACTTGTGTTTTTCATCGCAAGGTTGAAGCAAAAACGATGTCTTTATTTCTGTTTTATTTCGCAACTAAACTACAACACATTGAACTTGTATGTCTCAAAATATGTTTGCCACATGTAAAAGATATTCTTTACTTTTACATTTAATGTTATATCGTAAATGTATTAAAAAGTAAAATTTTATGAACAGTTTATATATTTATTTAAATCTTATTTATTATTTAAATAATTCATGAATTTAATTTTTATTATTAAATTTGTTTGTGCCACTTAATCATTACAGCTCATACAATCATCTTCTTCAAATTCCTTCAAATCGACAATTTTGTAAAATATCTGCATATAGCTCTTTATAATTTAGGACATGAAAACTTGGAAAATAAAATATTGGGACATATATTTCCCCGTGTAAATCAAATATTGGGAACATTCCTCGTATTGGAATCAATAGAGTGCTAATACCGAAAATGTCTCAACATATGTTGAACATGCTTTATTTTTTTGTATTTGTATCGTAAATCGCAAACTGTTTACGTAGGCATTTTGTAATATTAGAAATGGAACTTGAAAGAGATGCGATCGCAAGTCATTTGGAATAGTATTTCATTTCCAGTAAATTTGTAATTAATTAATATTAGTAAATTATTTGAATAATTGAAAGCATAGGTGTAAGAAATAATCCATGATACGGTACACATTAATACAATTAAATTTCATATCTGCATATCGTAAAACTGGATCTATATTCCTTCATATATAACTGTCACGGTGTTTGTAATAGTTTTCTTTGAAAAAAAAAAAGAAAAAATACATAATTATTAAAAATCTTTTAGTTTATGCTCCACATGCTGGCGTACATACTGGCATTTTACAAAACGCATGAATCTAATCTCGGAACGTAAACATTAATAAAAACGGTGTTATTTGTAGAACAATTGTGTACAAATTATTTTATTATTTATATATATTATAGATATTATTTTATTAAAAGAAGATAAATTTATAAAAACAAGAGAAAGAGAGGCAGAGAATGTGA